CGATTACTTCTTTGGAATTAGAGGTGAAATTATGAAGCCACATTCCCCCTCTGGTGCAGATAAACTTGGTGTTCTCTATTAATGATGTAGCTTTGGAAACGGTAGCAACTGACTAAGGCCATCGTCAACATAGAAATCCTTCCTGATAAAGTTAGCTGTGTCAGAGCCAAACTCGCACTCATTGTCAGTAGCAATTTTCTTGAGCCCAAAGTTCGAGCATCCAGGAGAGGATGCAGCTTGGAATAGATGAATGGTCATGCGATACTACACTAGCAGAATCTTAAGTAGTCGCGATCTTCATCTTTCACCTTGGACTGGTGGAACATAGCTTCCAGGTCACACATGAATTCTATCAATTCCTTTCTGAATCGACAGAGGACGCCAACCAGGGAGTCTGGACCTTGTAGGAGGTACTTGTTTAATGAATGGCCCATGAAGGTTGCACTGCAATCAAAGACAATTCTGATTTTGCCAGGCTTTTGAGGGTGGTACACTTAGTGATGGGGGATGTACCACGACTTTCCATCATCATCGGGTCGTTGTTCATGTGGCACCCTTACAGCAAAACCCTTTTCGACAATGTCTTGCTTGAATGCCATGTAGTGTCGATGATACTTCATGTCATTTTCCATTCATGTGTTTAGCTTGTTCAGTCAGCGTAAGGCCAGTGACTTGTTGTCTGGCAGTTTCGGGGTGTTGCCTCAAAGGGGAGTGGCATCTCATAATGCCCATNCAACTAAGGCCATCTTCAACATAGAAATCCTTCCTGATGAAGTTAGCTGTGTCAGAGCCAAACTCGCACTCATTGTCGATAGCAATTTTCTTGAACCCAAAGTTCAAGCACCCAGGAGAGGATGCAGCTTGGAAAAGATGAATGGTCATGCGATACTGCACAGGCACTTTTGTAATGTGGCCATTCTCCCACTAGTAGAATCTTAAGTAGTCGGGATCTTCGTCTTTCACCTTGAACTGGTGGAACATAGCTTCCAGGTCACACATGAATTCTATCAATTCCTTTCTGAATCAACAGAGGATGCCAACCAGGGAGTCTGGACCTTGTAGGAGGTACTTGTTTAATGAATGGCCCATGAAGGTTGCACTGCAATCAAAGACAATTCTGATTTTGTCAGGCTTTTGAGGGTGGTACACTTAGTGATGGGGGATGTACCACGACTTTCCATCATCATCGGGTTGTTGGTCATGTGGCACCCTTACAGCAAAACCCTTTTCCACAATGTCTTGCTTGAATGCCATGTAGTGTTGACGATACTTCATGTCATTTTCCATTTGTGTCTTTAGCTTGTTCTGTCAGCGTAAGGCCAGTGACTCGTTGTCTGGCAGTTTCGGGGTGTTGGCTCAAAGGGGAGTGGCATCTCATAATGCCCATTAGTGGTTTGTCGGCTTCCTTCTTCCATCTTCTTTAGAAACTGTAAGTCGTCTTGGGACAGTGTTGCTTGTCTGTCTGTCCTTTTTTCAGAGAAGTCCATTTCAAACATCCTCTTAACTTGAAAGAGATTGATCACTTTTTTCACATTTGTTTTCACAGAGAAATTGCAACTTCTCTTGTTGAATCCTTCTGCATCTACATGAAGGTCAAGTGGTTCTCATGCTTCG